ACTCTCCCCAAGCCCTGCCCCCGGCCCCCAGGAGGTGACGCTGTCTGCTGGGTGGAAGGAGGAGTGCTCCAGCAGCAGGGCTGTGTGGGGCTGTCTCCCTCTCAGCCGGCCCTGCCCCCTGCTAGGACCTGGGAGGAGCAAAATTTGAATTTTTAGGCGCCTCATAAAATGCCGGCATGTGCCTAGGCATGTGCCTACTGTGCCTAATTGGAAATCTGGGCCTGTCCATTGTGCCGTGAGGCGCCCAGAGTCCACCAAAATCAGGGCCCCCATTGTGCCAGTGGCTGCCCAGAGCCGACTGAGATCAGGGCCACATCACGCTCGGTGCTGCACAGACACACAGTGAGCCAGTCTGTGACCCAAAAGGCTCATGGCAATAGGCAAAGGGAGGATGGGGAAACTGAGGCACAGTGAGGGGTAATGACTTACCCAAGGTCACCCAGTGCGTCCATGCAATGGACAAACCCACTTTGAAAGGGGAAGCACCGAGGGGGGGATGGGGCGAAAAGATAACACAGGCTGCTTTTGATCTGCTTTTCACTCAGGTATCAGCCCAGATCTGCCCCCTCCTGCTGGTGTTTATTTATAACCTGTTGCTCTGAGTCATTAACCACACGCGGGTGCGAAGAACGAGATGATAAAAGACCCGGGGCCGAGTGCCCGAGGTGATGTGAAAAGGGGAAGCACAGCAGGCTGTGGAACCCCATTGTGCTTTCCTTGGAAGGGGGCGCGGCTTTGAAATTCAGCTCCTGTGGATCTCCCCCAGGGGAGACTCTGAAGGACGAGGGAGCTGGGGAGGTGACGGCATCACAGTTCCCCTGGGAGCGAAGGCCGAGCCATTAATTCAGAGATTCTAAGGCCAGGAAGGGAGCAGGCTGATCCAGCCTCTCACACTGCACGGGCCAGAGAATGACCCAGGGATTCCTGCATCCAGCCCATAGCTGGGGATGGAGCTAGCGCAGAACTTGAGAGAGGACAGCCCATCTGTTCGACTCCACGTGATGGAAACGGCTGTTGTGTGTTCACACTGTCAGCTGTTCACATTTGTGACATTGCAGCGATATTCGGAGCGCTGCACTCTGGGCATCTATCCTACAGAACACCTCTTTCTCTTCTGCCGCTAAGAGATATGGGAAAGCGGAGGGGGTCGCAGGGCATCCTAGGTCTTGTCCCAGTGGCCCATAATGTATTGCTTTGCATCCCAGCAATCCCTGTGCTTCTGTCTGCATTTGGTGCCATCTTTCAACGGTTTGTGTATTGCGTGTCCTGCCTCTTCGGGCTGCAGGAATGGATCCCGAACTGTTGACCAGTATGCTGCTCGCTCTGACCAACACGTCATGAGTGGCAGTGGAGTTATTCCTTAAACTACAAAGGTAAGAGGAGTGCGACATTGACCTTGACACGCGTAGTAGCTACGATACGAGATTGCTTGTGGCATTCACAGAGGTGCTGACCACAGCGGAACGCTGTTTTTAGGCTCGGGAAACAAGCACTGAGTGGTGGGATCAAATCGCTATGCAAGTCTGGGACGACGAGCAGTGGCTGCAGAACGTTCAGATGAGGAAAGCCACATTCGCGGCGCAAAGACATGAGAATGAGAGCTGCCCTGCCATTAGAGAAGCGCGTAGCGATTGCACTGTGGAAGCTACTGCTACCGATGGGTCGCTAACAAGTTTGGAGTGAGAAAGTCAACCGTTAGACTCGTGTTGATGGAAGTCTGCAGGGCCATTAATCCCATCCCGCTCTGAAAGACCGTGACTCTGGGAAATGTGTGTGACATTGTGAATGGCTTTGTACAAATGGGCTTCCCTAACTGCGGAGGGGTGATAGATGGAACGCACATTCCAATTCTGGAACCAGACCACCTAGCCACTGAGTACATTAATGGCAAGGGGTATTTCTCAATTGTTCATACCTAGAATTACTTATTTGAAACCCCCCCCCCCGCCCCAAATATGTAAGTAAATTAGGAATGTTTAGCTAGACGCAATTAGCTTTATTTTGCTTTGTGGATCTCCTCTGTGCTAACCCCAGATGCTTTTGTTCACTTTTAACATTTAAGCTGAACCCAGATGAAAGGTTTTTTGGGTGCTTAATTTTTGTAATTCTTTCTTTTAAGATCTAACCAAAAAGCCTAAGTTCCAGACGTATATTTTTCCTTTTTGTTTTTAATAAATTTACCTTTAAGAACAGGATTGGATTTTTGGGGTCCTAAGAAGTTTGTGCATGTTGTTTGATTAGCTGGTAGCCACAGGTAATTTCCTTTGTTTTCTTTCTCAGCTCTTCCCCAGAGGGAGTGAAAGGGCTTGAGGGTACCCCACAGGAAGGAATTCTGAAGTGCTGCTGCCTGGGTTCGAAGGCGATTTTTTGCATTTGTGTGGTGGCAGCGTTTACCAAGCCAAGGTCAGAGGAAAGCTGTAACCTTGAGAGTGTAATACAAGCTTGGAGTGGCAATTATTAATTTTTAAATTCCTTGCAGGCCCCCCACTTCCTGCACTCGAGGTGCCAGAGTGGGGATTCAGCCCTGAAACCATCTTTGACCTCTCCACGCTCTGGTCTCGTAGTGAGCCCATCTCAGATGAGCCCATCTCAGCCAGCCCCAGGAATCTGGCCCAGTAAATCTAAGGGTGTTTCAGTGGATCTGGATGGAGTCTCAGGTGGTGCAACGTGAGCACTGGAGGGAGCAGAGGAAATTACACGTGACACCAATGTAGCGTAGGCCTAGGTGTAAATTCTAGCTCGAGGAGACATACCCGGGCTTGCTCTGACCCAGCTGGCAGCCAAAAATTGATGTGTGGCCGCTCTTGGGCAAGTAAGAGGAGATGCTCCCTGCTCCGACTACGATCCCGTCCAAGACCACAGGTACACACTCACGGTGGCCAGACCCTCCCAACACCATGCCGACACTTCTATTTCTAGTTAGATGAGAGCTAGCATGACTATGTCTTCTCAAGCTGGAATATTCACCTCTGAGCCCCAGTGAAGACAGACCCATGGGCCCCTCTGGACTCTCCTAGCCCCACCCGAGTTCAGCCCATGGACTTTGTTCCACTCACCCAATGGATACGCGGCACCTCGGGTTCCCATGGTGGCTCAGACGTTACCAGGGCAGGTAGAGTTCTGAGGATTCTGAGCTTTGCAGCCTCCTTATCTTGGAGAAATTAGACAGGAAGCCAAGTCAACTCATGTCCTGTTGCATGATATCGTATCAACCAACAGTACTGCACATAGCAAAGCACTGTCTTCTCAGCATGCCCTGCTCTCCTTCCTTCTGCCCTAACACTTCTCCCACACCCATAAGCATTTACTTTGCTCAATACCTGATACCCTATGGGGGAAACTGACCACAGTGCAGAGGACCTAGCACCACTTCACAGAATCACAGAAATGTGGAGTTCAAGGGACCTCAGGAGATCACACAATCCATCCCCATGTGCTGAGGCAGGACCAAGTACACCTAGACCATCCCTGGCAGGTGTTTGTCCAACGTGTTCTTAAACCCCCCCAATAACAGGGTTTCCTCAACCTCCCTAGGTCACCTGTTCCTGTGCTGAACCATCCTTAGAATTAGAAAGTTTTTCTTAATATCTAATTTAAATCTGCCTTGCTGCTAACTAAGCCAGCGGGATGTGGGCGGTCAGGTCTAGTGGTCAGAGCAGGACCTGGCAGCCAAGAACCAGAGCCAGGGGCAGGAGCCAGGAGTCGAAACCCAGGGTCAGAATCAGGGTCAGAGCCGAAGTTGGAGATGAGGAATCAGAGCTGAGGGTCAGAACCAGGTTACCTGGAGAGAGGCCAGGCAGGAGCAGGGCTGGTCCAAGGCCGGAGCTATCATAGCTGTGGGCAAAAACTTTGAGCAGCTACTGAACTGTTACTGCTGGGCTTAAAAGCCTGTCTGCTGACCCTTCCCACCAATCAGGCAGCTTGGTACAGGCCAGCTGCGCTCGTTAGGATACCTGGAGACTGGCTCTGCTGCAGGACCTGATTCCCGACAGATGGTCCTTGTCTATGGTCCCTTAAGGCAGGTTCTTGAAGGCAGCGACTCCACAGGATTTGGGGCTTTCCAGGCCTCCCATCCAGGTGTCCATAAGCTCAAGGTGAAGAGAGGCAAAGAAATACACTCAAGCTCCACCTATGATAATTCGTGTGGGTCTTCCCAGGTCCCCTTTTCTTGTGGCCCCCTCCTAGAGGAACAGCTCTGGTCCAATCAGTGTCACACACATGCTTCCTCCAAATAGATCAACCTTGCACTGAGGAAAAGCACTGCACACACATGTGGGTTTTGCCCATATAAAGTCGGTTTCTGCTCAGTGACTTCCCTTTTCTCAGATGTTTCCCAGTGGTTCGCTCTGTCCTGTCTGGATTGTGGTGAGCATTGGCGTGTGGTTCACCTGACTTATTTCCTCCTCTGCCTACTTTAGAACAACACATTCCCTGTGGCTAAAGGCATTTCTTTGCTCTCCTGGTTGCCACTGGCCAGCAGAGTCTATCATGGCATGTGTGCTGGGGTCATTAACTGAGGCCCCATTATATTATCCTGCCAACCAAGACTTCATTCTCCAAAGCTTCCTCATTGGAGTGCCTTCCTGAAGACAAGCGAAAACTCAGCTGTCCCTGCCTGAATGAGCATCGGCAAAGCTGTTCTGAGCAGGCGCTCTTAAGGGTTAGATTCAGAGACACAAGTTACCAGTGTAGAACTACAGATATTCCCAGATCCCCAACGGTGCAAATCGGCATCGGTCCAAAGGCGTCCACACCCCCATTTACACCAACTGAGGGTCTGGCCTTAGATTATGAACAGCCACCTGCTCTGGGGTGGAGTCGTGCCCAAAACTAGCCCGTGGATTAGAAATGGGGCATTTATCGAGAATGAGGAAGCTTGTCAGAAATGACCCTATGTCTACACTGAGGAAACTGAGCTCAGACTCAGTGCGGAGGCTGTTGGAACCAGACTACCAAGCCAAGGCGGGAGGCAAATCCC